GTGGCTACTCTAGTTTTGATTTTATGCACAAGTACGAGAAAAGCATTTTTTTGGTTACATAATTGAAATTCAANTTTAAATCATAAGGCCAGGTTCATGAGTTATGATCGGAAATAAAACAGACAAACAGAGATTATTGCTTTATATTACTTATAAAGATGTATTTCAAAAAGGGAGTGTGAACCTGCATTTATGATTTGTTTATCCTAATAAGAATCCCAATGGTAACCAATTGTAAAACTAAGAATATCTCTGTCATTTTTGTAAAGAAATAGGTTCTAAAGGAACTCCTGTTATAAAAGATTTTAAAGAGACTAATACATGTGATAAAAGCTTGCTGCATGGTGTTTTAGTTTATATAAAATTTAAGATAATTTCCGATTTAACTTATTGTTTTGTCGTAGATCCGGTTCCAAGTTCATTTATTGAATTCACATAACTATCAGGGTTAAGGGGGGGGGGGAATCTGAAAAAGAGTTTTAAACATTATCTCAAATTTTTTTTACATATTTCAAAGAAACATCGTAATTTGATCTAGAAATTAACAGACAGCTGCAGCAAAATGATGTATAATCTATTAAAAATCTAAAAAGCCTTTTAAATATATTTTTTCCAGTATTTTTTCTTTTAGTACATTTTTCAACACTTACAATAAAATTTATGACGTGTCAAGGGTTTCAAATAAAATTAGACCAATCGGTTCAGTTGTTTCCACTTTCCCTTCCTATATCATAACCAAGATCTGTCTACCCCTCCCCCCCTGAGACCCACACATATTGCCAAAGCTCAGAACAACCAATCTTTTAAATATTGCCTAATCCCCCCCCCTCCCCCTCTCCTCGACAATGACTATTGCCTAAGTCTCAACTCGTTATATACTAGTACACAGGAAGCGATAAGGGTTAATGTGAATACCCATTTAAGTACACACTCGACTTGGCTTAAGGAGCCAACATGCATGGATGGGGGGNATAGACCAAGGAGACATTATTATTATTATTGTAAAAATAAAATTGTCACCAAAACTTTTTTATTTAAGTGGTTGCTCCAATTTTTATTTAAATTGTTATTAACTATTACTAAAAGTAAATAGTTACTCATATTCTAAGACTAGACTGCGTAGAGTCTATGCTAGATCTAAACCGATCGTGATTTATTGGGAAAAAGGTATATACTTTATTAAATACTTGATGTGGTCAAATTTGTAATATTCCTCATGATCCAACATAAACTCCCCAAAAATCACCAAAAACCTACGAAACTTGTATTTTTTTTATGAAAAGTAGAGACATCCATAGCTTCATCCTAAACCTGATCTTACAAGTATGATTGTTAAATCAAAAATTTAAATTCTCAAAAATATGAAAAATATAAAGAAACATTTTCGGATTCATTTGATACTAATAGTACGTATTTATCGGTGTATAGTTGCTGAATAAGAGAAAGAAAATCGACCTTTGAAATTCTCCCCAATTGTCGTTTTTTAAACTATGAAAATTGTAACAAAAATTCTACTTTAAACTACGTAGTTGTTAATGGACATTATGGAAAATCTGGGAGATTTTTATCGATAATGGCAGTTTTGAAGCTTTATATAGATATGATGCAAATTACTTTCTTTGATATTGACTAAACCCATAATTACCTTTGCATCTTATGACGTATAAGTATTATATTTAAATCATAAGGCCATCTCATGACCTTAAAGGAACTGTGTAAAGGAAAAATGAAAGGGGGGTATAGGCTGAAACCTGAGAATCTCAGGAGTCGATCGATACCTATAAGACATCTATCTGATGTTCCTGTCTAGAGAAATTGATCAAAAACTGTGTCAAATATACTGCTCACGTGATTTCCGTCTGTACCACGTGACAATGATACTGCACTGCTAAGTTCCGGTGACTTAATACGGACTATACGGACTATATGTAATTATATTATCAATTTTATCTATTAAAAATGCAAAATAAAAATTAAAAAATTAGAAAGGAGCAAACCTGAGATTCTCGGTCTCCTGTGGGATATCGTCGTTTTTAGATTGGTTGCGTTTTGTTGAATTTGATTTGTTTAATACCACAACTTTTAAACAAAATTGCATATGAATTTTTGTATTTTGATACAGTTATATATCAATTTCTCGAGACAGGAACATCAGATGGATGTTTTATATGTATCGTTTAACTCCAAGGATTCTTAGGTTTCATCCTATACCCCTTTCATTTTTCGCGAACACTCCCTTTAAAGCTGTAGCTGTTCCAGATGGGGTGGGATAGCTTCATGCCTCTACCATGTAAGCTGCATATAAGCCCCTTATCCGTTGTTTAGCGGTCATTTGATTTAATTTACTGTTACAGATTGTTCCGTTAGTTTTTAAAGAATTTCCAGTAATTAACGGAATTTCGCCCAACCCTACTAAACACGAATAAAGTTTTTTTTCTTCTTAAAATCTGAAAAATTCACATTTAGTTTAAAAGTGAATGACAAATTGTCTTTTTTTTACTTTTACATTAACCGGGGTTTCCTTTCGTGTCAATATATAATTTACAAATTCTTTCCGTTTTTAAGAAAATGTTCTGTTCCCTGATGGAACTGTCCCCGGTCTTATGACAACTTCAGTAATCTACAGAAATAAATTAATTATAAAGATATTAATAAAAATATTATTTTTGTCTCAAAGAAATCTTAATACAAATCGAAAGGGTCAAATTTATGAATTGTAAATAGGGGCGTCGGAAAATATATCATGATGGATCCTAAGAATATTTTTTTTAAATTACTACATGCAGAAACGGATAATTAAAGTTTATCCCAATCAAAATCATAGAAACAAAAACTTGTCCTTCTATTTTTTCCACAATTTCTATTTTTTATTTGTTTTTTATTTCTAATTGAGAGAATAAATTAGACATATAAAGTTTTTGGGTTTAATTTTATTAAATCTATATTTAAGTGAAAATAGACCAAGGAGACGGGGAATTAAATTTTTAAAGACCATTAAGTATTAGCAATTTCAAATGCTGGTTATAGCTTTTCTGAACTTACAAAAAAGGGGGGAGCAAACAAGTTTTTTTTTTATTAATGCGCCCCTTTTTTCATTCGAAGCAAGCATGTTTATACAGCAAAGCTAAAGTTTTTCATTTAGCTAAATTTGCGACATTTATGCAAATTTTGTCATTTCAATTCATATTCTTAAGCATTGCAATTTGAATGTTGAAAATTTTGATCAAACTTATAATTTTCATGCATTGCCTTTCTTTCCTTGTACAATATACAGGGTGTCCCAGTAAACATGAGAAAAAGTTACGACCTGTATGCCGAGTCCATTAGCGCCTGATCCAAGCAGGGTTCAGCCATGTGTTTGTTGTCTATTCTGAACCAATAGAAATAGTTTGGCGATAATATCTATCTTTCTATCTATCTCATTATCTAATTAGAGTTATGAATCCTTCAATCGGCGCTATCAGTAAATGGAAATATTTACTTCTACTGAAACTATAGTGAATTCTGTTCCGTGTGTCATTCCTACGTGAACACAATTTTTGTACAAACTGAACCTGGAAATATTTGTAAATTCCAGTTGATTTCAAGTACCAGGCCGATTTTTAACCAGCTCTAGAGCAAGCTGTACAGTACAAATACAGTCTCTGTAAGGCAAACCGGTACAGTACGCCAAATGAATGATCTCGTTCTAATGAAATTTATGCGGAATAGTTGTATGTCTTTATTCGTGGAAACAAATTTTGGACGATCCTTCACAAGCATGGATGTTTACTTATCAACATAATAGGGAATTTATTTGATCCATTTTTGCTAAAATTTAATGCTGTTTCTATAAATTGTATCTACTTTTTAATATAAATTCAATTATTTTTATAAATATAAGTTTGTTCAAAGCAATCACTAAATTCTTCATTTCTTTTTTAATTCTTTAACGAAATTTGGACAGTGACAATTTTGTTGCGGTTTAAGCTCATAAATATCTTCTTTTCTAAATCTTGGTTGACCAGTAAAGCCCGCGTCGGAACCAACTGTAAGAAAGCTGTAAGTTTATAATCCTTGTAATGATATCATATACTAGGATTTAAACTTTTTTTTGGTTGTCCTTTGTAAAAATTCCTGTGTATCTATCTATCTATTACGAGGAAACTGTTAGCTCCGTAAAACTACCAGAACCCTACCCATCGCACCGGACTTTCCAAAATTGGGTGACCGGCACGTTAGCTTAGAATAATGCAATGGTTTCTACTCGCGCGGACAGCCACTTGGGACATAAGCCCTGAGCGGTTTTGCAGCTGAAAACCGCCACCACTAATAAAAAACTAACACTAACTAAGTTGTTCCTTTTAAATGTTTGTTTATCTTGCAGACATGCTACAGACACGTTATACAACGTTTTGCAAAATAAAACAACAGTTTGCAGAAATACACTCTTTTAATAAGTAACTTTATAATGACCAATGAAATTGGGTAATTCAACGCTAACTTTTGACGACGATTTCGCATTCGTCAATTTCCAATGTTTATTGGGACACCCTGTACTAAAGTTTCGCCTGGACATGACCTTCTTTAATCAAACAGAATAACTCTCAGTCTAAAAATAAAATATTTTTGAAAGTTTTTTTTCTAAATTATATTGATTTAATCAAACAGAATAACTCTCAGTCTAAAAAATAAATATTTTTTAATGTTTTTTTTCTAAATTATATTGATTTAATCAAACAGAATAACTCTCAGTCTAAAAATCAAATATTTTTTTAATGTTTTTTTTCTAAATTATATTGATATGCAAAGTGTAACATGTTAAAATAACAATAGTAAACTATGTAAGCTTATTATTTAATGTCCCAAAATATTCACTGAATCACAAAATATTCAGGGCCATACATTTCCTTTAACCTTCCCCCATTGTTCCCTTTTTCGTTGGAGGTTGTGAGTCTAGAAAAATCTAAATTTTTTTCTCAAAATTAAAAAGGATAAAATTTTAATGCTTATTTTTATGAGATTTTTAGGGGGGGGGGAGGTTGATTAAATGGGAACATTTATATCCCTGAAAATGTTCACTGAATCACAAAAACCAGAAATTATTTTACAACAGAATAAAACGGTCTGACCGCGTATCACAGACTAAAGATCTACAAATAACGATAAATAATCGGCTAAAAAGAGTTTAATCTTTTAAGCCAAACATTTCTGAGGCATAATGTGCTATATATGTGGACTTTATGTTGTTTATATGTTTATAATAACTAGTGATGACTACTTGACAACCCACTATACTGACTATGTATGGGTGCAGTGTTCATTATAAAAAATATTGAATGGTTGAATTTTTAAACTTTTTTTCTGTAAGAATGATGTGTGTAGCAGCATGTATCACAATAAATAGTGTTTTAATCAACCATTTTGGCGTTTAATATTCGAGTCTAGGTATTGGCACTCTCGTTCCAGCAATAATAAGTTCGCGCCAAATTTGGTTTGGATTTTCACGGATTTTTGGTTTATGGCGCGTGAAATTATTTGGTTTGGATTAAAGAAGAGTAAAGAAGCTCGTGGTTTGGTGCGTGAGGGTCGTTTCTACATTCTCAGTCTATTCCTTTTCTATTATCGTTAAATCATTTTTGTTATTATCCGACTTGTTGACAAGATTTAGGACCAGTTTTTCTCAGATTTGGTCACGTTTATTTTTAACAATAACACAACAGAGAAGTGTACTGAAGAGTAAACACATAAAACATCGTTCAATTACTTTCTGTTGATCAAGCCAGGACAGTAATTTCCTTATCATAAAACTGATATTTTTTAGAAACTGAATCAATATATTTGAGATTAGGATTGGAGCCGCCATGATCCAAAATAGCTTATGAGTAGATAAGATGTAGAATTTGGATCTAGATGTTGAGTTTAGATCTAGAGGTTAAGTTCAGATCTAGATGTTAAGTTCAGATCTAGATGTTGAGTTCAGATCCAGATGTTAAGTTCAGATCTAGAAGTTAAGTTCAGATCTAGATGTTGAGTTCAGATCAAGATGTTGAGTTCAGATCTAGATGTTGAGTTCAGATCTAGATGTTGAGTTCAGATCTAGATGTTGAGTTCAGATCTAGAAGTTAAGTTCAGATCTAGATGTTGAGTTCAGATCTAGATGTTGAGTTTAGATCTAAATGTTGAGTTTAGATCTTGTAAGCCTCGATTTCAAGATGGCGGAATTCAAGATGGCAGGATTCAAAATGAGAGGATTCAAGATGGCGGAATTCATTGTTTGACAACGTCTCGAGCGTTTGGAACTCCTCTCTGGGTTAATCCTTCAAACCTCTTAAAGGTGTAATTTATAAAAACCCAATCCTTGTAAGCTTGTTGTCCCTTTTCCGGTCTCACAGTTGTCGGAACCCCTAAAATAAATAAAAAAATAAAAGATATGTTTATTGTTGAGAATAGAAACCACCAAATAATTGTAGCTTTAACGGAGTGTTCGCAAATAATGAAAGGTGTTTTTGTTTAGGCCCCTAATTGAATTCGAGTTTCTTAAAATGATTTGCTTTCACTTTAATAGAATTATCTACTGTCCGGGTTAAATTAGGAAACTCCGTAAATCTATGCTCTTCGGTATGAGTCGTTTTTTTATACGTAACAGATAGAAGTAAAACAGAAGCGATCGATATCAAGTACAATTTGGGATGAGCCTAGCCCCCTGAATACCCCAGTCATTTCTTCACTAACATTTACTTTCACGGGATTTACAATTGTTTTCTAGCTGAAAATTGATCATTTTTAAATACAGGCTCTCTAAAAAACAGCCTTGCATATTTACGCAACAGAGTCAATGTTTCAGAAAAAGACTTATTAAAGTATTAATACAATTTTATTAAAAAAACACCTTTCAAAAACAGAAAATGAATAATTTTTGTTAAAAACTTTTTTCTCTGTATTAATATAGCTTTGAGGCTCGAGTTTCCCATGAAATTAATTATTCTCCAACTATTGAAAATCTATAAATTTTCAACTTAGAAACGTCAACTGCACTTTTATACAATTTAATTTCAAGGGGGGGGGGTGATAAAATAAAAATTTCGAAAAAAACGCGAAGAAAACATTAAAGTTTTAGTAACAATAATAGTACTATTTTACCCTGAATAGTCGCCTCAATCCACATATCTTTGCGACCTGATTTTTATACCTTTGAATTTTGTTAAATTGAAGACAAAGTTAAAAATACAAAAAGTTCAGACTATCATGTGGCAAAGATATTGGGATAGAAAAATTAAGTATTTGTGTCTTTTGAATACTAAATTCTTTTATGTATTTTTACTAAATATTATGGAGTGTTCGCGAAAAATGAAAGGGGGTATAGGCTGATATCGAATTGAATTCGATATCAATCGCTTCTAATTTTACTTTTGTCTGTTGCGTATATAAAGTGAAAAGGACTAAAAACAACTGATATCGAAGAACGTAGGACCCATACAAATTCACGGAGTTGAATTATACCACTCAGATCGTAAATATTCAATTAAATTTAAAATTAAGCATTCAGATATTACAACCCATAATGTCAATTCGATGCATTCGTATAAAACTGGTATTTCATTTTCCGCGAACACTCCCTTTAAAACTGTTTGCAACTCTACTTGGAGGCTTTAGTATCTGATCATTGTTTTCAAATATTCTGTTTTTCCACTTTGTTTTGACATTTAGCAACTGCGAACTTAAAGCTGGCAAAGTTGTCAAGCTCTACTGAAATTACAAGTTTGCAACTTCAGCTAAATCCGACGAAAATTTTCCTACTGCATTTTTAAGGATCATAAAATATTAAGGGTTAGTATTTTATTCTTAAAAGCAATAAATATTTCATCTTTCTATTCAATGTTAAAATAAAGATGAAAATTATCAACTTATGCTTTACGAAAATATCAAAATACTGTCTCTTTTTTTACAATAAAAAGCAAAACTATGGAGGAAAAGTTACTAGTTTCCTTTTTTTAACAAAAATAAATTCAGTAGAAAATGTCAAGAAAGGAAAATCTATTTTGCAAATCATCTTAGGGCTGAACAAACAGAATATAGAAAAGAAACAAACTCAATTTCCCGAGGAAACAGGGATGCATAATATTTTTAAAAAAAATTTGAAATTAAAAATTAAAATTTGTAAAAAATCGCTTTTAATACTTAAATACGTAATAATATAAACAAAAACATTGAGCAGTAGGAAGCAAATTTTGTAAAACAACGAAAAAAGTTTAAAAAAAAACTTACGTATTTTTAAATCTACATCAGGAAATTCATCAAAGTTTGAGGTGTCGTCGATAGATCGAACTTGGACTGGGATAGCTGCCGGTCTCTCCCTATATAATTAATATAATTAATAATTAATCATCCGTAACAGTTAATTATTATAACAGTTAATTAATTTTTTATAGAAGGTAACTAATCATAGATAACAGTTAATTAATTATGAAACAATGTTAATTAATGATCAATACCAGTTAATTAATTATCCATAACAGTTGATTAATTAACAATAAAAGGCATTTTATGATCAATAACAATTACTTAATGATCGATACAATTATTTAATGATTGATCAACATAAGTTAACCAATGAAAAAACAATGATAATTTATGAATAATAACAGTAGCTAATGGGTGCGTGTCTGGACAAGTTAAAATGACTATCATAGACTTCTCTCATTGTAAGGACGGATTTAATTTGTACTTTTACGGACTCCAACGGACTCAATTTGTGCGTATACGGACTCTAACAGACTCATTTAGTACTTATTAGGACTCCAACAGACTCAATTTGTACTGGTTTGGACTCAAAACGACTCATTTTGTGCATATTCGGACTCCAACAGACTCAATTTGTACTTATTCGGACTCCAACAAACTCAATTTGTGCTTATTAGGACTCCAACAGACTAAATTTGTATTTATTCTTACTTCGGACTCCAACAGACTAATTTAGTATTCATTTGGACTCCAACAGACACAATTAGTATTTATTCGGTCTTCAACAGACTCAATTTGTACTTAAAAGGACTCCAACAGACTTAATTTGTATTTATTAGGACTCCAACAGACTCAATATGTACTTTTTGTACTTAACAAGACTCCAAAAGACTCAATTTGTGCTTATTCGGACTCCAACAGACTTAATTTGTACTTATCGGACTCCAACAGACTTAATTTGTACTTATTAGAACTGCAATAGACTCAATTTGTGCTTATTTAGACTCCAACAGACTGAATTGTACATATTAAGATTCCCACAGACTCAATTTGGACTTATTTGGACCCCAACGGACTCTATTTGTACTTATTGGGACTCCAACAGACTTCATTTGTAGCCTAAGGACTCCAGCATACTTAATTTGTGCCTGTAAGGACTCCATTAGACTCCTGAAGTACCTGATATGACTCCAATCAACTCCCTGAAACCAGGACAAAGCTTGAATGTCTTCTATACATTTTACACGGAGCTCCATTTCTCGACAAAACCTGAAATACATAATATTAATAAAAATAAAAATGATGATATGATAAAAAGGATAATGATTTTAATGTAAATAATGATAACCATATTTTAATCATAAAAAATTAAAGTATTAATANTAATAAAAATATAAGTAATAATAATAAATAAAAATAACTATTCCTAACTATGAATATGTTTAAACAGAATGAAAATTTATTTACAAATTCTCTTAAAGTGAAATGTCAACTTCAATTCCAGTTCTTCAAGTTTGCGTCACTTCCGCGTCATTCACAGTCTTTACTGAGCGTCATTGTAGTAGGGAACTTATTTGGGCTTAGACTGTATACAAATACAATGACAATATATTTTAATTCTACAAAAATAAAAATTAAAAATTATTATTAAGAACAGTTTTGGAGTTAAAATATAAATAATTCTAATCGGATTTTTAAGTGGACATCTCAAGCACTAAGTCTTCTAACCCCTCTCTGTAAAGTGTAAACACCCTTGATTCCAAGTTTTCATTTGAGACCCCCAGATTTGTATTGGATTTTCATTGAAGACCCCCAGATTTGTATTGGATTTTCATTGGAGACCCCCAGATTTGTATTGGATTTTCATTGGAAACCCCCAGATTTGTATTGGATTTTCATTGGAGACCCCCAGATTTGTATTGGATTTTCATTGGAGACCCCCAGATTTGTATTGGATTTTCATTGGAAACCCACAGAATTTCATCGGGGAAATAATGATTTAAATAGGAAACTTTTATTTCTAAGAATGATGAACGAGTAGTTTATTTCAAATGATTGATAAACCTATTTAATTATTTTTAATAAATCCCTTGGTGGTCGTACACACTACACACTACATACATCCGGTTTTTTCTTCAATAAATTTATAATTTTTTAACCCTGCTAATTTGAATTGCACGGTATTATTTCGAACAAATAATGAAAATAAAATACATTTTCTAGAAACCTTATATTTTATTTGATATTTAATACGAATACAATATTAAAGTTTCTTGTTAAAAAGTAATAAGTTCTATATTTTAGATTGTTAAGAGACAAAACACTGTATTATTAAAAAAAAATAATCATAACATTAACAACAATAACAATTTTCTTTGGCATTTTTTGCTGAAAATCGTATTTCACGGATTTTTCTTTTCAAGTTAGAACATTTTCAAAAAAAAAGCTTGAAAAAAGCAAATGTGAGAATGGAAAAGAAGAATTTTATCAACGTTTATATGAAAAAAAAAACATGATCAAGTAGACCAAGTTTGAAATATTTAAACCTAACCCCATCGGGATGCAAAAATATAAGAATTCAAATTTTGTACCTGAGACATGTTGCCTTAGCAGCTTCTGAGATCGGTACTTCAGGAGGAAATTCTAAACTCTCTCTCCAGTTCATAACCTTCTTGTAAGTCTCCTAGACACAATTTTTTTTTTCTCTTTTGGGGAAAGAAGGGGTAAAAATGCAATAAAATCACCAATATATATAACCAAAATTACCCACCATTGAGGCTTATTTTGCTCCTTTAAAGGCCTTTGGCAAAAAAACGGAAAACCCAGGAAAAATCATTTATAAAATCAAAGTCAAAGTTGATTTTTTTCTTTCAGATTCATCCGAATATACAAAATTTTTAGAAAAAGCTTTCTTTGTTGCTGCAAAACTTGCAGGTTTTCTGCAAATTTTGATCTAAATTTTGGTGCAAAGTTGAACCGTGCATCTTCATTAAAAATTAAATTTTAAAACTGCGGTATTAACTTTCAGGATAACAATGAAACCAGGATAACATGGATAAAATGAAGTTGAAATAAAAATAAAAGAACTATTAAGCCAGCTTTGCTTTATTTGTATAAACTTTAAACATAAAAAAATATCTCAACAAATGGGCTTCAGAAGCCTCTGTTTTATAGTGGATGAGCCTTTACTTTCGAACCCGTTTTTCTTGTTTCTTCTTTTTTGAATATTGAAGCAAAATATAAGATTTTTTCGATGATATTTGATAAACACACTATGTTTTAGTAGAAGTAAATATTTACATTTGCTGATAGCGCCGATTGAATGATTGGATAATGAGATAGATAGAAAGATAGATGTTCCCGCCATACTATTTCTATTGGTTCAGAATAGACACAAACACATGACTGAACCCTGATTGGATGAAGCGCTAATGGGCTCGGCATACAGGAGTGAACAGGTTAAAAGTACTCTAATCCATTGCAAAACATACATAAAAAGGATTAACTAGTAAACTGCTGGCGGATTATTAAATTAAGGATGGCCAAAACAAAAAGTAACGCAGTTATTCGTTTTTTGCGATAGAGTTCGGTTCGTTTTGGTTAAATTTGGCAGTATAAGAAAAGCAAATATTTAGAATACGAAACTTTAAATTTTTACAACTTTATAAAGTGTAAAAACCCTCTAAAGTTTTGAACATGTTATTTCCAATCAATATTAAGTATTAATATAACATCGTTATCCAGAATTTTTTATAACATTTTCAGAGTCCAAATTTGACGAATTTGTGCCGCATCTCAAATCCGCCAAAAACCGGTTTCAAATCAGCGCAGGCTTAAATCTTGAAACATTGAATACGATATTGAGCGGAACTAACCATTTTTGAGCCGCGTCTCAAATTTAAGCCGCGGCTTAAATTTTTTATTTAAAAATAACTTGCCTGAGGTGTTTCAGAGCAGAATGGAGGATAACCTAAAAAAAATCAAATAAAAAATGTCAAAAAATAAAATGTTGTTCAAATTTTTTAACCCTATTATTAACCCTATTAACCTTATAATTAACCCTATTATTCGATTATGGAAAACTCCGAAAAAGCAGCTATTTTTTTATCCTCATATATTTGTAACCTGATGTTATAGACCTTTGTTATTTCCAACTTTGATTTCTGTAGGATCAAATATCTGAGGTCTGTACAATCAGGTTTCAAAGATAAGGGGATTAGACAATTTGAGTTTGAGGTAAGATTAAACTTATTATTTTGTAGAAATTGACCTATTAACTGTAGAAACTAACCTATTAACATTTCAAACATAATAACACCAAGAGACCACCAATCACAGCTTTTATCATATCCTACAAATATTTAAAAAATAATAAAATACACACGTATAAATTTTGACATTTCACCAATCGGGTAAATGATAAGATGATAAAAAAATTTGACTTCTTAAAGCGTAATTTCAAGCCGCCCCAAATGCAAAAATGGCAATGCCTGATTCACAACGGCACCCTAAAAGCTTTTCTGGTAAAGGTTTCTCTACAAAAGAGACCTAGAAAAACGACAATATCTTCAACAGAAAAGGGTTTTAAATGTACTGTAGTAAATCAGGCATTACCATCTTTACATGGAGGGTCACAGCCTCTTGAACTAGAAATTTTTTATTTACAAAAATCCCTGTCACCCCCCACCCCTTCACCCAAAATACTTAAGAACAAATTTTATCATGGAGGGAAGGAGGATGAATAAAGAAAATATACACCCCTGCATATATAATTATTACATCTATCCCCAGGATATTTTTAAGCTTTTTTCTTTTTACTTTTATATCACTAAAAAATAAGCTTTGTGTTGGTTGAGTGAAGGGGGGGGTTCTCACTAGACAATATATAAGATGTATTGAGGAGCATGTGTTGTATAAATATATCATAAGCTAATCATTCTTGTCATTATTTTCTTCTATACCCTTCCATACTCTTCCTACCAGTGTATTATTCATCTGTGTACACTGTACAGAGAGACACAAATAACATGACTACAAAGGGATCATAAACGTCAACTAATTTCAACTGATCCTCCATGCAAAGATGACAATGCCCGATTCACAACGGTACCATTGAAACTTTTATCTGATTCGTAATTTGGAAGATATTGTTGTTTTCTTGGTTAGTGTTTAATTCAGATAATTCTGATATAGCTTCCTTTAGCAGAAATTAGCGCAATTAATCAACTTTCAAAATAATAAACAATTATATGTAACGCGTACTTGATCAGACAAAGCTATTAAGGTTACATTCTTAATTATCTTTGCACAGAGGGTCACTTGAAATTTTTCAAAATAACGTTTGAATTGACATGCCGTACCGATTAACAACAGTAACAAAAGGACTGTTGAACGTTGATGTAACTTCAAGTAGTCCTCCATAGGGTAACAAACTCGATTCACAACAATACCTTCTTAAACCTTTATCTGAGTTTATCTGTTTTTTTAAAAAGAAATTCTTAATCATCTCCAACAGAGGTGTAAAGGGTATCGTTCTAGCCTCTACGGAATAATAGTTGACTGTTTGTAAGCATGTTTGTTTGTCAAACGAATTGAAACCCCTTACTTGCTTTTAGTACTGTTACAGTTCGGGCAGCTTTCTAGTTTTAGTTCGGGCAGTTTTCTAGTTTCAGTTCGGGCAGTATTCTAGTTTCAATTCGGGCAGTTTTCTAGTTTTAGTTCGGGCAGCTTTCTAGTTTCAGTTCAAGCAGTTTTATAGTTTCAGTTCAAGCAGTTTTCTAGTTTGAGTTCGGGCAGCTTTCTAGTTTTAGTTCGGGCAATTTTCTAGTTTACCTGTTTGTTTAAATACTTCCGGAGCAATATAGTCAGGAGTTCCAACTGTAGAATACGCCAAAGCTCTTCGTTTAGATTTCCAACTTTCTGCTTTCCGCTTAGAGTCTACAGGGGAGTTAAAATCTGATGGCTTTACCTAAAAACATACATATATTTTTTTAAATAAAAAAACAATATTTGATTAAAAAAAATATGTTTTCACATCTATTCTTTTAGGGCGTTCTAGATATTTAGTTTAAAACCCTTTTTTTCTGAAGGCCCTTATTCTAGAATAAGGAACAATCAAAATTGTTAATGTTCTTTATAATTAACAATTATCCACCAAACAAGAACGGGTATTCTTGATCAAGAACACCAAGAACGGAATGGAACAGAATGGGAACGATACGATGAGAAAAAGGACGAACGATCCAGCTCAAGGCCCTCGTTCTAGGACGAACGATCCAGCTCAAGGCCCTCGTTCTAGGAAGAACGATCCAGCTCAAGGCCCTCGTTCTAGGACGAACGATCCAGCTCAAGGCCCTCGTTCTAGGAAGAACGATCCAGATAAGGCCCTCATTCTAGGACGAACGATCCAGCTCAAGGCCCTCGTTCTAGAAAGAACGATCCAGCTCAAGGCCCTCATTCTAGGACGAACGATCCAGCTCAAGGCTATCGTTTTAAGACGAACGATCCAGCTCAAGGCCCTCGTTCTAGGACGAACGATCCAGCTCAAGGCCCTCGTTCTAGGAAGAACGATCCAGCTCAAAGCCCTCATTCTAGGAAGAACGATCCAGCTCAAGGCCCTCGATCCAGGAAGAACGATCCAGATAAGGCCCTCATTCTAGGACGAATGATCCAGCTCAAGGCCCTCGTTCTAGGAAGAACGATCCAGCTCAAGGCCCTCATTCTGGGACGAACGATCCAGCTCAAGGCCCTTGTTCTAGGAAGAAGGATCCAGCTCAAGGCCCTCATTCTAGGACGAACGATCCAGCTCAAGGCTATCGTTCTAGGACAACGAACGGAAGATTAAAAACAAATGGGAACACGTCCAACCCTACCTATGGACGAAAGTCACCCAAAAATGCAAGATCTTGTCTTTGGCGTTTCATGACTAAATACTTGTGCCCCTTGTGTTTAAAGTTGTTGGAGAAAGTTTCGGCCACTAACGTTAAGCTTAAAAGTTTTAACTTCCAACTTTAAAAACAAAGTTAAATTTAAAATCATCATTAAATGTATTCTATAAAGGTCAGATTGCAAGATTTTAAAAGTACAGAGTCCAAAATCTGATAGTTTCACGTGACCCCGGGCATCCAGCAGAAGATTATCAGGTTTTATATCCCTAGAGCAAATCAAACATTAATTTAAATCACTAGAGCAAATAAAACATTAATTCAAATCACTAGAGCAAATAAAACATTACTTTATATCACTAGAGCAAATAAAACATTAATTTATATCACTAGAGCAAATAAAACATCAATTTATATCCCTAGAGCAAATAAAACATTAATTTATATCACTAGAGCAAATAAAACATTACTTTATATCCCTAGGCTAACTTTAATATTTTTTTTGTATCCCAAGACCAAATAAAATACTGTAGCAATTCTTATCCTTATATCATTTTCAATCTGTAGCAAAATCAATTTGATTTGAAGTTTTGTACTTCTTATAATTCATTAATTTCCACCTTCGAACACATAACATATATATATGATTGATTGATAGTGCATATAAGCATGAAGCCCTGAAGATACATTATTATCAATATGTGGGATGAAGTAGTATCAAGTTTAAAACTAGGGCAAGGGCATACAAAAAACTAAGGGGGCAGAAAAGTACAAGAGCAAGAGGGGGAGGGGGGCTATAAATAGGGGGGATGGGCGGGAAGGAAGGTGGTTAATAAATTGATAAAAGGAACAACATATTAGGATATATATTATATACTAGATTGAAAACCCAGATTTGCTTGAAAACTAAGTTTTCCATGATTCTACTGGGTTTCCCTTGAACATAATTCAAGGCAAATCGGTCCAGGGTTCATGAGTTATGATCGGACATACTAACTGAGACTTAACTACTTTATATATGAGATGAATACAATATACCCATATATTAAGACAGTTACAAAGCATCTACATTTTTGTGCACATGATTGATAAATAAATAAATAAATAAAAAAACGGCTTTTAATAACAGGGTAGTGACAATTGGAAACAGCGGTTGAAGTATGAACGTATACTATAGTGGGTCAGTTATTTTATTTGGATAGTAATGTGATCAAAAAATTCAAATAAGAGAGAATGCTTCATTATGTTTTTTTTTGATGCTAGTTAAAACTTTACAATTCTTTCAATTCTAAATGTAGAGAGAGAAAGAGAAAGATAGAGAGATAAAGAGAGAAAGAGAGTGAGAAAGAGAGAGAGAAAGAGAACGAGAGCAGGAGAAAGAAAGATAGCGAGAAAGAGAGAGCGGGAGAAAGAAAGAGAAATTGAGAGAGAGCGGGAGAAAAAAAGAGAGCGGGATAAAGAAAGAGAGGGAGAGAAAGAAAAAAAGAGAACGAGAAAGAGAGCGGGAGAAAGAAAGAGAACGAGAGAGTGAGCGGAAAAAAAGAGAACGAGAGAGAACGGGAGAACAAGCGAGAGCAGGACAAAGAAAGAGAGCGAAAAAGAGAGAAAGAAAGATAGAGAAAGAGAGTACAAGAGAGAGAGAAACAGAGAACGAGAGAAAAAGAGACAGAGAGATCGAGAGAGAGAGTAGAAAAGCGAGATCGGATCGTGATTTCAACTTGGATTTTGCCAAATGTTATTAAATTTCACTTCTTCTATTGAGAAGATAGTCTAAAGTATAAACCATATTAATCCGTTGAAAGCTTAGACAAAAACATATTGTCACTTAGTTTCTATTTTCATTTACATCATAAATCATAGGAAACAAAAAAAATAACCGATTTTATATAAATTAAGGTTCAGAAATAAGAGTTAATTTCAAGAATTGGACATAAATTGAAATTAGAAATATATTTTTTTAAAATTTGAACATAAAACAAAAAGTATAAAATATAAGTAACTTCTAAATACAAAAAGGTAGAAAAAAAGATTTAAGCCTTCGAGGGTGTTATAACTAACTTATTATTTAAAATACAAATATTATTATTATTATGAATAAGATTTTGTTTAAGATGAGGAACTAGGGTTGTATCAAGATTTGAGAAGGCAGCCAGGGGTAACCGTAGGAGGGGGAAGAAAGAATTATAGTTGGAAAGATAGAAAGAATTATAGTTAGATAGAAATATAGTTAGATAGAAAGATAGAAAGAACTATAGTTAGATAGAAAGATAGATAGATAAAGCGGAACGAGCACAAATAAATATAGAAAACGGAAGTATGCGGAGTAAGAGGCTGAAAGATACAAATCCAGATAGTTAGATAGATAGATAGAAAGATAGATAGCTATCCAGATACCACAATAGATAGATTAAGAAAAATGATACAGTAATAACCAGAAAACTCTGGAATAGGAAGTCGACTTTAAAACTCAATTTATGACCTTGGACATGAGGCACAGCAATTGTGCAGTGTAAACAGACCCAGTTTACTTAACAAGTGATTTAATAACTTATTAATGAAGCTATTTGCTCAGTATTGCTTTAATGTCGTCTTCCTATTCTACAGTTTTCTGGTTATCACTGTAGAAAAATATATAGATAGAAAACGTAAGTTTGTGGAAAAGTAGAAAAATAGTAAGATTGAAAGCTGTCAAAAATAAAGATATAAAAAAGGAAGATAGATGGATAACAAGATGGAAGACAGAAAGATGGTTAAACATCTATTAAGATAGATAAATATAACGATGATAATTATGTAGAAAGATAGATAAATATCTATCTAAATAGATAGAAAAATTGATAGAAAGATTCAAATCAAAGAATAGATAGATAGATAACTAACAAGGATAGATAAAATATCTAGATAGATAGATGGATAGAAAAATAGATAGATAGATAGATAGATAGATAGAAAGATAGGTGGATAGATAGGTAGAAATATAGAATGGTAGAAAGATAGATAAATAGATAACTATCCAGATAGATATATAGATAGATAGCTTTCCAAATAGACAGAGCGATAGATAGAATGGACAGATAGATATACGGACATAAATAAAGATAGATCGATAGAAAGATGGATAGACAGATAGACAGATTGATAGACAAATATATAGATAGATATATAGATGGATGGTTAGAAAGATAGATAGATGGATAGATAGATAGACAGATAGAGGACTCTCGATAAAATTAGAAAACGGAAGTGAGTGTAGAGTAAGAGGAGAAACTGTTTATTACAGGAAATGAATAAATGAAGGAACAAAAACAGTAAAATCTCAATTTCAGCCTTATTTAGTTGACTCAAAGGGACAATAGGCGAAATTTCACGTGACCCTCTATACAAAGATTTCAATGCCCGATTCACAACCATACCCTTAAAAACTTTGTCTGATCAAATACGAATTATACATACATGTTTATATTTAAAAACCAATTATTTTCAATTGTGATAATCTACTCTACTACATGGAGACATATCTGATTTCTCTGAATTAAATACATTTTTACCTAGAAAAATTACAATAGCTTCCACATTAATGATCAGATAAAGGTAAAAAGGGTAAATAGGGCATTGTAACCTTTGCATTGAAAATACGCTTACACGGCATTTTTTAAAGGTACCTATATTCATAATGTGCCATCATTAATTTCCTTTAATTCATAATTAAATAAGGTTTAGGATATCTATATGGTTATATTCATTATAACTCAATGGAAAAATTAAATATTTGTGTATATAAGAGAATATCTGGTTTAGTTACCTGTGTATAAACCCTAGTTTATGTATGGACTCTATAGCTAAGGCTGTTTCTGCAATATAGAACTGAGTTGCCTCTTCTGACAATGTATCCTTCTTCATTAATAGTGTCATCATGTCTCCTAAATATAATATCAACATCATGATCAACATAAACTATAGCATCAGCATCAGCATCATCAATAGCATCAGCATCAACATCAGCATCAAAATTTCATATTTTCATCAATCCCACTCTGAACTATCATTTTGATCCATCTGAACCCTGAGTAGAGTATTCTTTAAACATATCGGTCATATCTCAGATTACTCTGTTCCATGTATATCTCAATCTACTCTGTACATTTATCCATGATTGTAGATTTTTTTCCTCTTTGAAATATAATTCTCTGATTTCCCTTCTTTAAACTATCTCTCTGATTTCTACCTGTTTAATGCTTAATTCTATCTGTGTATCTCACACTTCTGGCAAATATCTCTGATTTCTCTCTACAGTGTATATCTCTATATCTCTGTAACTTATCTCTATCCTGGAAAGTTCTCCCTTAAAATTAAAGATTTTCTCTCTGTTTATCTTATATTTGTGTATATATTTTCTTCATCTGTGATTATCCTTCGTTTATATTTGATTGGCCTATATTTGTAATGAGAACTACTGCAATTACAGGGTTACCCTAAAAGACTAAGACACGACGACAGTGAAAATCTATTAAGTTTTTTTTTATGACTTTTGGGTTCCTGCGGCTGTATACTTGTGTGTAGCCTATAGCCAAATCATTTAATACACCAGGAAGACTACAGTTGATACAGAATCTAAATTATAAACCTCAGATAGTTATATTAAGAGTATTAGGTAATTATTAAAATCTCACCCATTATGAGTAAACTTTTATCTAGTATCCAGTCCTACAATAGAACAAATAGTTTGACCTAGAAACTAAGTATCTGGAGCAGAAACAGGAGATGAATTCAATTTTATGTGTTCTCTTTCAGGTTCAAAGAAGAAAAATTATTAGAATATAATTCTGTTCAAAGAACTCTGAGGGGGGGGGGGGTGCAGATAACCTTAAAAGCATAGATAAGCAGTAAAAAGTCTGTTTAAACAAGTAAATCAAATGTGTGGAACATTTTAACAAATTTTATAAATTATCTTTGTTTTCATATTAATACTACTATTTGATATTCAGAAATATCATAGTTATACAGTCTAACCAAATTTCTAATTTTACCAGGTTATAATCAAAATAAAATATTAGGAATACATTTGATATTTAATTAAACAAATATTAACAATTTCATCAAATACCTTTAAATATTAACTTTGTATCACTAAACTTTCACAATGTACTAGATCAAATTAATGGATTATGTCAGCCCTTGAATGAAAATTAGCCTCAGAATTAATTCCACTAAATATTCTAATTTTGCCAGCATGAGCAAATTACTGAACCAACAAGAAAAAAGTTAATGCGGATTAAATTGTTAAAATGTTCCTCAACAAATTTGATAACTAGGGGGTTTCGTTCAAATATTGGCTTTCTCTGAAATCTTTTTATAGTGCATCTGTTTCAACAATATACCAGAAATTGATGAGTAGAATAATATGTAACCTGTGCTGCGATTTAAAAACTTCGGCTCGAGCCGTAATTCCTTAAACCCGATTTTAAAACCTAATTTTCAACCCAACTCTGACGACAGCTTGTGTCACGTGATTGACAGCTGTAAGATCTTCGGCTCGACTTAAGTAGTTAGACCCAACGAAAAATAAAACCGACCATGGTTGATTTTAGTGGAGAATAAGGCTCAATGTTGAGTCTTGTTCTCATAAAAACCCAGAATGTGTCAATTCCTACCATGAAAATCCCACCAAAAGAATATTAAACCGAGTTTTTTTAACTCAACTCTGTGGAAAATAAGATGCAGCTTAAATCTGAAAGCTCAAGCCGTAAATAAGGCCCAACACCAGCTTAGACCCAAGCCATATTTTCCCGAATTTTTTAAATCGCGGGTTCTGCACAATTTATTTTTGCCTTTTAGTGTTTAAAGGGGCTCAGGCAAAATTCAAATTACTCTTCATTGATAAAGTGGTATGTCCTATTCATAATAATACTCTTAGAAGCTTTGTCAATTCAATAAACCATGAGATAAAAGTGATCTCCTATTTTAAAGTTAAGTATTTTTAAGTTTATGAAGAATGCTTTTTTAAATAAAACGTCAATTGTGCTGGTTCTCCAGAAAAAAGTTTTTTTTTTCCTTTCCAGCTTCGTATTAATTAACGCCGGGTTCTTTTTGCTCCAGATTGCCATTTTCTTTTCTAGAAAAGATTCTGCAAAAACTAATTAGAAGAAGAGGTAAATGGGTAGAATGTAGAATCAAGTAGACTCTGTTATATACTTCACAAGCAACAGTTGAGAATTTATACCGTTCAATAATAGAAAACCACAACAAAGAACAAGATATAGACTGATTTGGTTTCAACATAGCTTATTAAACTATACATTTTGTTTTTGCATAACAGTTTAATGTAGCACGAAGTAGTTAAACTACATAGTTGAACCCCTTGCGCTCCACAGATAATTGTTAAACTTAGCCTACATAGTTCTAGCTATTCTTTGCACACCACAGTTTTGTTGATAATTGTTAAACGTAGCCTACATAGTTCTAGCTATTCTTTGCACACCACAGTTTTGTTGAAGATAATTGTTAAACGTAGCCTACATAGTTCTAGCTATTCTTTGCGCACCGCAGTGCTGTTGAAGATAATTGTTAAACTTAGCCTACATAGTTCTAGCTATTCTTTGCGCACCACAGTTTTGTTGAAGATAATTGTTAAACGTAGCCTACATAGTTCTAGCTATTCTTTGCACACCACAGTTTTGTTGATAATTGTTAAACGTAGCCTACATAGTTCTAGCTATTCTTTGCGCACCACAGTTCTGTTGAAGATAATTGTTAAACTTAGCTTACATAGTTCTAGCTATTCTTTAAATTTGGTCACAGTTTTTACCGATCTTATGCTTTCATACTTAAGACCACTTGAGTCTTACATCACCTCCTTGTATTTACAAAAATGTTGTTAGATAATAGGAAAACATATCCATTGAACCATCAATTCAACCATGTAATATTCAATCTCAACTTCAACTAATCAAATTTTAGAAAAATTCACTACGGTCCAGATAGAAAATCCAGTTTTGTCTGTCAACTCAAATTAAACCTCAATCCAGTGAAAATGGAACAAACAAAGTAGGTTTTCCCAAAGTTTATGTTTGATGATTTGTATCTGGATCCCCTGGTTATTTAGTATTCCTGATACACTGGTGAGTAGCGAATATAAATAATGGATAAGAAAGGAGGAGGAGGGAGGGTGTCAGTGGCTATAAATTACTTGACAATTACCCATCCGCTTCCCAACATATCCTTTTACTTATTTATTCAGAATACTTAATACACTGCAGTTTCTCCCAGGATTCAAGATTGTTACAAGATAGGAAAAAGAGCCAAATGGGCCAAATTTTTTGGGATTAATTTTTTTTGAGGTCTTGGTTTACTCCAAGGGCCCTTTTCGAGAAATTGGTGGAATTAGAGAGGCTAACATTAATACTCTGCATTAGACGTATCTTAGTTTTTCTTCTCTTGGTAAAAAAAAAGATGGTTTAGCAGATCAGTTTACAACTTCCCCCAGTTTTTCTATTCTCTCTCTCGGAATGCTTTTTAGCATTTAAATTAAGTATAATACTTTTTATTCAATCTTATGCTAGATTTGAATTTAATCTGAAATTTTAAATACTTGTTTAAATATTTTAGAATTTAGTTTTTTCTCTGCAATTTATCTTAAAACTTAAATAAGTCGTATGCACAAATATTACTTAAGTGGGAGTGAAAGAATAGGTACTTTTGACCAACCCCAATCTCAATTCTATGATTTAAACACAAAAACGTTTGATGCTTAGTAAATATTGACATAAGGCTGTCAAAGGTTTAGAACTGATCAAACATTCAAAAACATGACAAGTGCCACAATGATCCTTCATAAATCATTACTCGAACAAATTCAAAACAAGAATCAGACAAAAAATATTATAAACAAAATAAATTTAGTTTAAATTCAAGTATACTGTAATACATACCTCCAGGTAGGAATTCCATGATGAGGTAAAGATTACAAGTATACTGTAATACATACCTCCAGGTAGGAATTCCATGATGCGGTGAAGATTACAAGTATCCTGGAATACATACCTCCAGGTAGAAATTCCATGATGAGGTAAAGATTACAAGTATCCTGGAATAATACATACCTCCAGGTAGAAATTCCATGATGAGGTAAAGATTACAAGTATCCTGGAATACTACATACCTCCAGGTAGGAATTCCATGATGAGGTAAAGATTACAAGTATCCTGGAATAATACATACCTCCAGGTAGAAATTCAATGATGAGGTAAAGATAACAAGTATCCAGGAATACATACTTCCAGGTAGGAATTCCATGATGAGGTAAAGATGTATCCTGGAATACTACATACCTCCAGGTAGGAATGCCATGATGAGGTAAAGATTACAAGTATCCTGGAATACATACCTCGAGGTAGAAATTCCATGATGCGGTAAAGATTACAAGTATCCTGCAATACTACATACCTCTAGGTAGAAATTCCATGATGAGATAAAGATTACAAGTATCCTGGAATAATACATACCTCCAGGTAGGAATGCCATGATGAGGTAAACATTACAAGGATCCTGGAATACATACCTCCAGGTAGAAATTCCATGATGAGGTAAAAATTACAAGGATCCCGGAATACATACCTCCAGGTAGGAATTCCATGATGAGGTAAAGCTTACAAGTATCCTAGAATAATACATACCTCCAGGTAGAAATTCCATGATGAGGTAAAGATTACAAATGTCCTAGAATACTATATACCTCCAGGTAGGAATTCCATGATGAGGTAAAGATTACAAGTATCCTGGAATACATACCTCCAGGTAGAAATTCCATGATGAGGTAAAGATTACAAGGACCCTGGAATACTACATACCTCCAGGTAGAAATTCCATGATGAGGTAAAGATTACAAGGATCCTGGAATGAATAAAACATCTTGACCACCCACTGATGATCTGCTTCAACTAATATGTCTCGTTCAGCTCGGACATGCGCCAACTAAACAATATAAAAATAAGATCCTTTAACCAAGGGATGGTACAGGGACCCCTTTGAATTGTTTTATAGTTATCATCAAAATAATTTAAGTACTTTCATCGTCTCTTCTTCCTTTAAATACTGTTAGCTTGCAATAATTGGAATGTGAGATTAATCCTAATGGTGGGAGTATGGTTATTTTTCAACAACAAACCCAATTATTCACAGCGTTAACTTTTAATTAAGCAGTTCAAAATTATTTTTCGGGAACAATAAATAATCCAATCCAGAAAAAATAATGAAATAAATGAAATTCAGATTTGGGCTTTTGAGAGCAAAATATTTATTGTGGGGTTTTTTGTTGACATTTTTACCCTTGGATCCGGATCCGGTTTAATGTATACACTATACAATATATGAAAACAAAATTGTCTCTGAGCAAAATCCATCAGTTAATCGCAATTTGTGAAACCGACCCGTGAAATTTCGTATTTTAGATCATAAGAAAAAAAGTAAATTTTTATTTTTTATTTCTTGTTAATTGAAGTCATCTTTTTAGAGTGTTCTTTAAGGGAGTGTTCGCAAAACATGAAAGGTGGGTATAGGCTTCCGGCGAAAAATAATCACTTTTGATTGCTACTAATCTTAATCATTCAGATATTACAACGAATAGTCATCGATTATTTTTTGACGCCTTCATATATGGTTGATATTTCATAATATTTTTTATTTTTTTTGGTATACGCTGCACTTAAAACGCCGAAATAGTTGGTCTCTGCTCTCGATGCTTTGAATGATTACACATGGCAGAGGTAAATAGCGGAAAAACGTCTTTTTATGTGCAATTGTATATAAAACATATAACAAAAAATAACATCACAAAAAAACGATTATTTTTTGCAGTAAGCCTAAACCCCATCTCATTTTTCGCGAACACTCCCTTGTAAACATAAAATTCGTCGAGGCACAAAACCTATTTTCTGACAAGTAATTTAAACTTTTTAAGATAATCTCTCTAATCTCTTGGGATTTATTTCTGATTTAAGGAGAAATAAAAAAGTCTTGTCATATTTAATTTGAAATTTATATTTCCAGACGAAAAAAATGTTTTTATTTCAAAGGGGTTTGAATTAGTTTCATACAAGGTTATAATGCAAGGAAAGTTAATTGCAGTTGCGTACATATTGAAACCAGTTCTTACTAGGCGGAATTTGTAAACAAGAATAGATGCGTCAGTGTTCGTTTAGTATCCTAGGAGGTTAAATGCATTAAATTTTGATAATTTTGATAATTCACATAATAGTTTACTATGACCAGAATATATCATTGATCTTTTATGTGAAAGGTAGATCCCATGTCAGGCTTTGACATCCGTCTTACGATTACATTACCGCCCGGAGACAGTACACTGCAGTACAAAAGATGCGTATACTTCTGAAATAACTTTCCTGGCATTATAACCTTGGTTTCATAAGAGATAACAGGGCGGTGTGTGTTTCATCTCCACTTTAATTTTAACTAGAATAATTTTGAAATTTTTTACCTGTTCTTTTTCCACCATATCAGCCTTACGAAGAATTTTCATAGCGTACACGTGACCAGTATCTATCTTCTGTACTAGTCTCACCTCACCAAAAGCTCCTTTACCGATTACTTTTAACGATTCAAAGTCATCCACCCCAAGGCGAGAGCGCTTGAGGCGCAAAAATTCTGTTTCTTTGGCTGCATGCTGGGTTCGTTTCTCTACTCGTACGGTCTCGGGTAGGGTAGGTTCCTAAACAAAATAATTTTTAAATGCCTGTCAATGTAATTTAAAGTGACCCTCCAGTAAAAAGGAAATTATGGTTGTTGTTGATGAAAAGAAATAAATTTGGACTTTAAATCAGGTAAAAAAGAATCTTTACAAAAAAATCTTTCTTTCTCAAATAAATTGTAAAATACATTTTTTTTAAAAGTTTATTTCTGTTTAAATGCTTATTCCCGTAATGGAGTGACTATTAAGAATTTTTTGTTCCAAATCTAATCTTGTTAGAAATGAAACTCCGATTATATCAATATAGAAAAATTTGTTCCATTTAGAATTAATTCTTTGAGATTAATCAAAACCAAGCTAGAAAGAACAGTTCACTCTGAAGTTGAAGGAGTCGTTAAACTTTTTTAGAAAACACTGACTAACAATATATCTCAGCCTTCCTTTCTTAAAGATAAATAATCTGTGTAATGCATAATGAAAGGTTTTTAAAGTGATTCCCCATTTAAAACGTAATCTGCATTAAACAAAAATTTTGAGAATTTTTCTGTTTACATAAGTGGACTTTTCAAAGTGATACGTGTCCACATTTTTTTCAGCTAATTTTTTTAATTTGACCGTCCTCCAACCTTCCCTGGGGCATTGTGAGTTGCTACAATGGATTTGGGCCGGACAGGTTTAGCCGTTTTGAAAGACAAGCCAAATATATAGATAGACTGTGGCAAGAGCTTTGCTTGTCTAACCTCAGATTTTTTAATATCATAAACAAATCTGACTTTAATCAACCGCTTATCTTTCTCTAAAAGAAATTAGTGAAAGTAAGCTACCCAATTAAGCATCTAACTTTTACACCTTCACATAAAATTTGAGAACGGGGGAGGGTGAAATGATTTTTTAGTAAGATATATACCCCTCTGTTAAGTATATCAAATTACCGTGAGGGATTCTTCAAGTCTTCTTAGTCTGTCCTTTCTCTCTCTGTGTTGTGAGATTAGGTTGCTGTAGTAGTTCTCCAGGGTCACCTACATCACGTACATCGTTAAAAGGGCTGAACACGTAATTTCAAACGACCCTCCCATTTATAGTTACAGATATTTTCCCTTAACCCTTTGGTCGGATAAAACCTGAATATTTTTGGACCTTTCAATCCAAAAAAGGGATATTTCTTTTTTGATTGCAGGTTATTACACGTTTATAACATGACGGACGACATAAACAAATGGTTACCAATACCCAGTTAAAGGTTGTAAGGTATTGCTTTAAATCATGCATCTTTATATGTATAACTTGTTAATATTGTCGACAATGACATTGGCTTTAATGTATGTTCCTAATTATAAAAATGCATAATTGTTACATGGTTTCATCTAGAAACTTAGTTACTTTCAATTTGCCATGTCATTTATTAAGGCTTGAATATGTATGAAACCAAATAAGACCTTTGCATCGTGACATTATTTAAATATTAATACGTTGTTAAAATAATAAAAAATGCTCACCTTGGCTTTAGTTGCCTTGTCGAGAGTGTGACAGGAAAACCTGAGAGGGTTCTCGGCAGAGGTCGCCATATTTAACACACCTGAAATTATAAAACGAACATTAAAAATTGGTAAATGTATGGTGCAAAACTTAAGTTTGTAAAAATAAATCCAGCTAAGTAGTTAAAAAATAATTTACATTTAACATTTTGACGAGACCGCTCATCTGAGAGCGTCAAACGAGGATTTTTATCACAAAAACAATTTAGAATCCATTTCATGACGGCCAAACAGAAAATTGCGAAGTTTCTTTAAATCTTTTTGAAAATTTACAATTAACGTTTAAATTTTTATTTATTTCTAGGGAAGGGGGAGCTCAGGACCAGTCAGGTCCCGGAAACCCCCTGTAACCCATAAATGTTAATGATTCAGAGGGGCCGGGGGCTGATCCCCAAAGTCCCCACCATACGTAAGCTTCAATTCTGTTTGACGCCTGGGAAAGTATACTTTATGCAGTGCCCTGATTGTTTTTAAACAAACAAGAAAGACGATAAAAGATAAAAATTGTTGTAACACTGTTATCTTATTTTTCTTCATTGCTTTGTGTGAACATTTAACGAACAGAGGTGCCCACTATCAACCCCAATGTTCACTGGGAAACAGAGAAAGTGGTTAAAACCAGCTTTTTACTACAAGCAGGCAATCACAGGCTAGATGGGCTAGAGACAGGGTGAAGCGTACACTTTCTTTCTACCTCCCAGCTGTGTACACACTGACCCCAACACTGTTTACTTTTAAGTTTTAAACTTTGTAGTATCAGCTGATTTGGAGACACGGAGTATTATGTCGAAAATAAATTTGATTTTGCGTTTTCCCTGTAAATTTCTAATTCACGTATGTTCGAATTGTGAATTACAGAAGCTTGGGATCGGGAGAGTTTCCCGGTCCATCTAGATTTTAGACCTTAATAAAACGATTTGTTCAACCGTCATCTCTACAAATTATATAAAGACTAAAGAGACTAGTATAGTTATTAGACTTACAGAAACCTTTTAAGTTCAAATAATTTTGATATAATTCTGTAATCTAATTCAAGTCTCACTAAACATGAGAATAGATTGTTATTTGTTACAACAAAATCTTATCTTTGATTTTTGTATTTCCATTGAAAACTAAGTTTGTGTCTCGTGAAATTGATTGCGAGTTTTAAGCTTTATAACCCTGTGATTTTTTTTCGATAATTCATGTATAAAGATATTTACGTTGTTTTTTAATAAAAGTTTGAAGGAGAAGATTTAAGATTTCTAAAATGTGGTCCTCAGATAATAAGCCTATGCCCTAAACAATGAAACCTGTCTAATGTGTGAAATATTAATTTTACAGGGGTCTATCGTGGTCCTCTAAATCTAATCTAAATGGGGTAAGCCTGATTCACAATAGTTTTCTTTAAACCCAGATCATGTGGATTAGATATCGTGACATTAGGCTTTTCTGTAGCCCTTTACATAAAGCACTTTTTGTTAACTTCGGTTTTTGCGAAGTAATTGGCAAAATTCTCAACACATTTTTTGCTTGGAAGCTTAAAACCTTTAAATGACAGTGGTCTATACGTCCCTTGTAATCAAATTTTTGAGAAAGGTCAATTTTTAAAACGTTCTTATAAACAATTTTTTTGAATATAAATAAATAATAATTGATTTGTTTAAAATGAGTGGTTGTTTTTAGTTGACTGTGATTTAATATTTTTAACTGGTTTTAAAGAAAACAGATTCAAAGCTTTCCTGATTCATCAAAATTAAACTGACAGATTGTAACCTGCCTCTCTATATTTCTTTATCTACTGATTGGTATTCAGATGGTATAAAAAACTACTTTTTACATTCTGGTTTTATATCTGAGAAGTTCCTACCCCC